ATGAGTCTGCAAAAGTATAAACCAACTTCAAAGACAACATAGGGGCTAAATACAGAAAGGATGCCTCAAGAAACAGAAATGATAGAATTTATTCAGAAATAAATCATCTCCTAACAGTGCATGCCTTCAATTCCTGATAGTAGGGCCGATGCAGCTAGCAAAAAATGGCAAGGCCCTCAAGAAGGGGACACTAAAGGAGAGGCAAACTGGCTCAAGTTGAAAATGGAGCAAATCAAAGGCCCTGTGCTGGTCAGTAGTGGGACCAGGCCTGTGAAGAGCCCCTGCACTTATAGGTGAAGTGAGCTAGGAGGCCTGCTCTTTAAAATAAATAAATAATTGATAACAAAACAAAACAAACATTAGCTGCATGAGTGTATTTCAAGTGTTAAATGAAGTTGATCTTCTTAAATTCATTCTTCTTTCTCTCAGGTCAGATTAAATTTTGTATGGTGGCTACTTCTTCATAAACTCTTTTTTCACACTTATATTTCTATTACACTTTAATTATATTCTCTGTGGGCTCAAAACCCTGGAGAGGCATTTTTTTTCTTAAAAATGAGGGAGACTCTAAGTTTATTCACCAGTTCATATTTTAGGATTCTAATAGCTGTAATTAAAGTCTTTCAAAAGATGAAGTAATTTGAATGTTTCAGAACAAAATCAAGTAAATATACAAAATTAGGAAAAAAATAAAGCTTAAAATTTTCAGATGGTTAAGATTTTGCACAATACTGACTCAGTGAATGAATATGACCTTCCAGATTGTTTTTTAGGCATCCATGTTTTCTCAAGAATTATTGCATTTTGAATGATTTCAGATAGCAAGCTGACAAATGCAAATTCAATCCCACAATGGCATGCATATAAAAATAATTGTGATTGAAGTCACTTGTTTTCCTACAAATATATTTAGTGAGAAAGCTACTAGACTGATATAAAGACATATGATAAATGGCATTAAAGATAATGATTTTTAAAAAATTTTAGTGTACTTTAGATACATTATGAATATGTACCATTAATACAGTGGGCCAAAATATAGAAAGTACAAAGGGTTGGGGGAAGGAGGGAGAAGAAAGAACACTGACCTGAAGAATTGCTTTGATGAGATGGAATTCTTTAATAATCTTAATTTCATAGTCATTTTATTTCTTAAAATCTACCAGATTATCAACTCCTCAAAAGCAGGAGTGGTGTCATTTACCTTCGCATATTCTTCTTTCCTTATAATGTGGTGTGTACACAATATTTGCAGAATAAATTCTTCATGTATTTAGAGATGGAAGGAATCTTCAAGGTCCAACCCTACATTTTACAGTTGTGGAAACTGAAGCCCAGAGAGGTTAATTGACTTGCCCAAAATCAATGCAGGCAACAAATGGCAAAGCCAATATATAAATACAGGTCCTGTGACTCCAAATTGAAAGTCACAAGCTAGTTTGGATCTCTCATGACCATAGAACAAATACTACTAGAAAAAAAAGTGTATCATCCTCCTCCTATATTAAAATAACAAGTCATCATATAACCTTGCCTGTGTGTCCTTCATAAATAGTCCACAACTGTGTTCAGTTTGGTTCAATAGACTAATGGGAAGAGCCCACAGAACTATTTGAGTTTTATGGAGAGCAATATTGGCAATTCAGCAAAACTACATAAATATTTGAATGCCAAAATCACTTAAAAACTGTTCTGATTGTTCCTTTTAGTAAGAGGATAAGCTGAGGGCTATCTAAATGACAGGCAGCATGATTTGATCAAAGCAAAGGAATACCTTAGATCTCTGCTGATGGCAGAATTGATGAGTTGGACTAAACTTTATCTTTTTCTACTTTTCCCCTCAGTTTTAATTAGTCTTAAATTTGACCTATCGAAAGCATCTTTTCTGTCACTGTTTGATGCCAACTTTTCAGATAGAACTGCTCCCAAGGAGGGAATGGGATAAGTTGGGAGTATGTGGGGGTAGTAAGAAAAGATCCAAAAAACAGTTAGTGTCTGATGAATGCACAGTTGACATCACTAAGCACCCTAAAAATGATACCATCTTACATAAATATTCTATTTGACTTATTTCTGACAATTCTGAGGGGGTTTTTTGTCCTAAATTAGTAACTTGTTTACTTTCTAGTATAAAGGAATATATCTCCACTGATTAGTTGAGGTTGAAGAACAATGAACCTCTTAATTTACACTCTTGGAGAGCTAGACACCTCCTGGTTAGGTCTCATCAGTGCTTGGGTGCAGGCTTAATGCAACCCAGAGTAGCTGTTCTCACCATATCTTTTGATTTGAAATAAATAAATTATTAGTCAAGTTTCTTAAGCACAAATTGTGTGTGTGTGTCTTCTTCTTACAGACAGAATTTAACTATTTTAAACTTGTTATCAGAATCTTGTAGCAACTCATAATTTCTTAAGATATTTAATATCTTATTTTTTATTTTTAAAATATTTTTAATATTTTTAATTATTTTTACATTATTAATTAAATAAATAAATTAATAAATAAAATATAATAATAAATAAAAATAAATTAAAATTATTTTTAAAATATTTTTATTTATTTAATAAAACATGTATTCTAGAGTTTTAGATATCTTTTTCTCAAGGACCTAATTGTAGATAATAAGATTTTCCATGCCTTTTTTTCCAGTTATATTCTTTGTCCTCTTTGTTACATCCCTCTTCTATGATTTTTTGCCATGCTCAGAAGTTCACACTAACCATCTTGCCAAACCAGAACAGCCTGTGCCACGTACAAATCTATTTCTCATCTTTTTATACATTACTACTAAAAACTGACCTCTTCTATGCAGCTTTCAATGATTATGCAAAGTTTAATCCCAATACAACAGTAAATCCAAATTCTATCAACCTGCCACCCCTAACTATAACTTTATGAGTTTGTGAATATGTAATCACATAGTGGGCATATGTATATCATCTGTTAGAAAAAAGAACACAGAAATTCAGATTTAGAGGACCAAGTAGCCAGATCCCACATTGTCTTTCCATTTTAGGTTATGTTACTCAATGTCTGATTCTATTTTTTTTTCATTACTGGCATGAATTCTGAGAATAATCTATTTTCTTTTGTCTTATTTGCTTCAAAAGAGGAAAGAACTGATTTCTCTGTTTTAAAATATGTTGTTATATAGCTATACATCATGGAATATTATGGCCTGAAGAATTAAAACTGAATACCACTCACATGACAGTTGGACAGCTAGATGGTGCAGTAGATTGTGTGTAGAGCCAAAAGTCAAGAAGACTCAACTTCCTAAGTTCAAGTATGGCCTCAGACCCTCACTAGCTGGGTGATCTAGCAAGTCACTTAACCCTATTTGCCTCAGGTTCGTGATATGTAAAATGATCTGGAGAAGGAAATGGTAAACCATTCCAGTATCTCTGCCAAGAAAACACCAAATGGGGTCATAAAGAGTCAGACACAACTCAAAATGACTCAACAATAACAGATGGCAATGGGGAACTACATAGTGGACTTTATGCAGGCAAAGAACAAAGAAGGCCTAGAGTAAAGTACAGCATCATATATGACTCAAAAATAATATGAACTGGTCAAGTGGCCAGAAGGAGATAGTTGATGGATAAATGGTTTCCCACCTATGGTTGTGATGCTGAGAGAAAGAAGTTAATGCACTTATTAGATTGAAATTCCTATGGAGAAATTCTGGCAACACGTTGTCAAGGGCCACGTAAGACTAAGTAGGCATAGGAGGGTCCTCATCTACACCATTAGAGGGAACATCTATGTCAAGATCAAAGATCTATTTTCATATTTGAATATTCCTTTTCTAAAACTATTTTCCAAAGAATTAATTTATTCATAATCCTTCACAACTAGTACTCATTCTCTAACCACTGCCCAAAACTTTCTATGTATTTAAGCTATTTTTAAAGAATTGGGCAGTTTATTTTTGACACCAACAATAGATAATTTTATTTTAAAACTATCTGATTAATAATACCAAGTGAAAATGTAAAGCTTGCCAAAGGTGTTTGCTTCTGCCACAGAAGATGTGTAGTGCAGAATCCAGATGGAAACAGTGTGGGCCTCATAGAATGTGAAAATCTCTAGATGAGAGGTTTTTACACTGAGATCTATGAGTGCGTATTTAAAAAAAAGATGTTTAGAAAACTTTCAATTTCAATGTAATGAACTTCCTTTGCAACAATATGTATTTTATTTAATTAATAAAAATTGTTTTAAGAATAGGTCCATTAGCTTCACTTGACAAAGGGGTCTGTGATACACAAAAAAGGTTATGTATCTCTGCTATAGATGATCCTGTTTGCTGAAAAAATTGTACTGATTTTATTAAGCTTTAGAACAACATTGTAGACTATCTCAAATCAGATCTGGAAGCTCACAAAAGTTTGAATTAACTACCTTATAAGAAAAAAAAGGCAGGAGAGTAGGAATGGAATGAAGAATTCGTATTTTCCAGATTAAGATAAAAAATTGGTTAAGTAACCCATTTCATCAGTGTATATTTCCTGCCCATACACCAAAGATGAATAAAGAATGAGTCTCTGAATAGAAAGAAGGGAGAATACCAGATCACATTTAAAATATTATGCAGTATGTTGAATGACTCCAAGCTCCTTTCTGAAACAAAAGCCCATAATTTTATATTTCCAAGAATTCTATATTGTTTAGTATTATAAACAGGAATGACAATACCTGCCTTCAGAGAAGTCATGACCTTTTAAGAAAAATAATGCATGTATATAGTTACAATAAAAATAAAATATTATAAATTTATGAGTTATGAAAAGTAACATGGAATTTTTGAGGAGAGAGATATTACTTCACAAAGGGACCACATAGAGAAGGTAAGCCCCAAACTGTTCTATCATTGGAAGATAATTATCTTTTACCATCATGCTACCAATTTTATCTTATGTTATTTGTTGAAATCAGTGTTATGAACTGAACTTTTGTGGCTGAGGATTATGAGAGTAGAATATTAATATTACCTTTTTCAATGTGTATCCTTTTGGATTCATGGCCAAGATCATGGCCAGCCAGATCCCCCTCTTTTGGACCAGGTAACACATTTGGTGACAAACCCATCAACATCTGGTTCATGGATAGCCCATTCTGATGGACAGCTGCTGGTACAAAACAAAACACATATACACATACACACAGTGATACTATTAATAACACACAGTGTTCCATTTATATTAATTAAATTTTCTTTATATAAAAGGGAAACCCTGTCTTCTCACTATCTCTTAAGTATTTTTAATTTTCTAGTCTATTTTGAATACCTTTATACTTTTCCAAATGAGATATTCAAGTTCCACTTTCATTAACACCTCATTAACTCTAAGGCATTATTTAATATTTTAGAGTACTATTTAGCACATTGAGTTGGCAACTTAATGCATAGTACATTTTTTTTGAAAAAACTAAATGCATTCTTCAAAGATGTTTAATGAACAATGATGAAATCCTTCTGTTTGATAAGAAATCTTATTTTTCAAAAATGATTTATAGGTTAAAAATGTTCATACCACAAAGAATAAGTATTCATTAAATGCTTGTTGAATGAAAAAACAAGTATTCTTTCATCATATAAACAGCAGAAGGTACCCTGATCTATTAGGATAATGAATCAGGTGACCTAAACATCCGTCTAATTTAAATTATCCCATCAATGAAGATACTAAACAAACTGTCAATCTTGAAGACTTCATGGAATGATTCTACCATTTTTTGGTTATTCATGATATATTAATCTGTTTCCTTAAAATATTATAATTAATTTTTTCTTGGTAAATGAATATTTTAGTCTACTCTTTACTTAGATGTCCTTACTGCATAAGTGATAAATGAACAATGAAATAAAACAATTCTTACTTCTTATAAGAAAATGTATCTATCCCTTTAGAATAACTCCATAATTTCAAGAAACTTCCATTTTCATGGAATAGATTGGGATCAAGTTCATTTTATAGAGAAATGTCACTGGAACCATGGAAATAGGAAATTTCTGCTGTTTTATTGAAAAAAAATTTGATTTTGAATTATTGTGGTAAATAAAGCACAATAGCCGCTTTTACCTTTTTAAGAATTTGGGTGGATGAAAACCTCCCCACAGATTACATGAAGACTTAAAAATTCAAATCTACTATATATTCCTTTCTTTGGCATTACTATTAAAATGATAGGATGTAAAAAAAAGGCATGTTTTGCTCTGCAGGATTTACTAATAATCTTATCCCTTTAGGGACACTTGAAAGTCAATCTTATAGTCACCAGGGGTATTTCAACATCAGCTGCTACCAGTAGCAGCATCATGAGATCACAAAACTAGAGCTGAAAAAATAGAATCTGTCAGGTTCAATACTGTCATTTTACAGATGAGAAAGGTGAGATCTGGTGAGGTTAAGAGATTTACCTTTGATCATACTGTTACTGCTCAATGTGAGATTTGGAAATGGAAGTTTGAAAAACTTCACAACACAAGTAAATTCTGAATTTCAAGAAAGTAAAAGTAGATTTGCATCTGTCTATAATTTTAAAATTAACAATCCAGCTATAATTTTATCCACCATAATTAAAAATAAACTTGAAAAGATTCCATTGTAGACATTATATTGTATATTATTTAACTTTAGAGACAAACATATGTAACTTACATCTTGAAAAGTGCATTTGTTTTTGTTCAGTCATGTCCAGTTCTTTGTGGCCCCATTTGTGGTTCTCTTGGCAAAGATAACGGAATGGTTTGTCATTTCCTTCTCCAGCTCATTTTACGAATGAGGAAACTGAGATAAACAGGGTTAAGTGACTTGCCCAGGGTAATACAGCCAGTAAGTGTCTGAGGCCAAATTTCAACGTAGGTCTTCCTGACTCCAGGTCCAGTGCTCTATTCACCATGGTACCTAGATGCTCTCAAAAATGCATGTGTGTGTATGTATGCGTATGTATATATACACACACACACATACACACATACACATATGTATATACATATATATTATGTATAAAATATGATAAACTATAAACTATATACATATATACACATGTGTGAATAGATATGTATATATCTACATATCTACATAGATTGTTTATATAGGTAGTATATATGCACACTGTATATATTGTATATTGTACATATTGTATATCTATGTTTATTGATATACAATGTAGATGCAAGCTTACTTATTCATTTGTGTATCAGCAGGGGTGTGATGGTAAATATTTAACAACCAGCTTCCACTCCACCCCCCAAAAAAACCTATGCAGAACACACTTTTAACTGTAATCTGCATATTGATATTTTCTCCATCATTTTCTTAAGTTTAGAAATCAATAAAATAATAAATCAAACCCCAATTTGTAGTGTTTACTGATTTCCAACATGTAAATGCTCAAGATGAAAATTTGAGATGGCACTAGCAGTCTCTAGGATACCTTGGTGTGTGTGTGTGTGTGTGTGTGTGTGTGTGTGTGTGTGTGTGTGTGTATGAATTGTAATTTAATTGAGATGACTTCATATGATCATTTCTTGTTTGTTGAGAAATCTTTTTCTTTAGAAAACATCTTTCTTAAGAAAATATTTTCTCATAAGAAAAACAATTTATGAAAATAATTGTGATAGTAGAAAGAGCTATCAATTTGGAGTCATAGAATCTGAGTTTGAATCCTAACTCTCCCTATGTGTGACTTAGGACAAATCACTTAAAGTTTTCTATACCTCAGTTTCCTAATCCATAAAATGAGGAAGTTGGATGAAATGAACCTCAAAGATTCATTTCCAGTTCAAAATCCATGATCCTACAAGTTTGTATGCAACTAAAAATGATATGCTCTAAGTCTAAATAGAGTGTATTTCCTAGTGTCTATGGACTAATCAGTTCATTTGCTTAAGCAGGAAAAAAAATCAGTGAAATTAGTCAGGGATAAAGTGTAGAAATAAGTCAGTGCTCCTTGATGAAGAAAAACACTCACTGTTTGGTTAAAATTTTCACTTTTCAACTGCTTTGTTCTGGTCTTACATCTTGGGAGATATTTCTGGGACACTGCATGAATTGGGCCATTTGCCTATCACAGGTCTGGTTTGCTGGAGGCTGGCATGGCCATACATCAGTATAGCCCAAGACTGATTCCATATTAGAGAATTAAGGTAATATTTTATTTTTTTACTTTTTACTTTTTAATTTTTTTCCTATTTAAATTTTTATTTATTTTCAGTTTTCAACATTCACCTCCACAAGATTTTGAGTTCCAAATTTTCTCCCCATCTCTCCCCTCCCTCCACACCAAGATGGCATGCATTCTGAATACCCCTTCCCCTAATCTTCCCTCCCTTCCAACTCTCCCCCCCTTCTCTTATTCCTTTCCCCTTTTATTTTCCTATAGAGTAGGATAGATTTCTATGCCTCATTTCCTGTATTTCTTATTTCCCAGTAACATGTGAAAACAATTTTTAACAAGTGTTTTTAAAACTTTGGGTTCCAATAAGGTAATATTTTAAAATGCAGCTCTACCTTGATAGAACAAATCATTGAAACTCATAGCTAATTTTAACTTTAGTCAAAAAATTCCAAACTCTTCAACATAACAAATAGTCTTTCAAGACTTACAAAAAGTAAAATTCATCATTTTGAATTCTACTCTTTCCATTTCCCAAGTCTTCCCCTCTTTTGGATGAATGAAGAATTTAATGAAGAATTTGAAGTGGCCCAAAAGATTGGCTGTAGGCTAGCTGAGGAATCAAAAAAATAGGATGTACTATGCCCAACTTGGACAGTCAGATACTGAATAACTGAGAGCTGCATTCACTTCAAAAACTAATCTAGAAGGTTACTTTCCATCTCAAGCTCTGTTTCATAGCTCAAAGCTTTATGTGTGGTATTACAGAGTGGGAGTTTATATCAAAAATTGTTAATGTAGCATCATACCTTAGGATATTGCAAACTGGGAAACATAATGTTGAGAGATGGCTCTTGCTACAGAGCTTCAGAACATGATACATCTGAGATCTATTTGGAATGAGGGCATTTTGATTAGAAAAGCCAGCTGAACCTAATAAAGTTTAAAATGGTGACAAGGAAAAGTAGGTGACCTACGGATTCTATCAGAAGAACTCTCGGTCCGTGCAGGGGAGCTAGATACGCTGCTGCTTCGGTGAGATGATGGATGACTGCCAGGTCTTCGACCCTCTTCAAGAGAGGGGGCAGGGGAAGGACTGTCTGGAACACGTTCCTATACCCCCACAAGAAGAAAAAATAATAATACATTAAATACAATAGCTCTCTTGTCTATTGAAGGCTGCTTTTTTTTCTAATACAGTAGAAACATAATATTAGAGCAAAGAAAAGAATTATTTTCATTTACATTGAGCTGCATTAAAAACATCCCCACTTATCTTGAGCTTTTCTCAGGATAGAAACAATGAACCCACAAAAGCCACACAAAGGAGGGAGAACAGAGAAGAATAGTCAGATAACACACATCCGGAAAAGTTGCATAGGTATACACTACCATAGCAATGGCAAAAGTTAGATATAGTCTAAATCCCCTATTTGGAGAAAATGGGGCCAAAATAAGAGGACCAAAAATATTTAAGTTGTAAGCCATTAGGCCACAATGAATGAATATAGCAAAGTGGGCTTCAGTACGAAAGAAATATCCTTTTTTAAGAAGTCTATGAATGGAGCTATTATAGTCTGCTGTGTCAATGAGTATCTGAGGACTATTTAGCACATATATTATTAATGTGATAGACCAAAATAATGCCAGAAGAGTTGTTAACATTTATTCCGTCACTGCTCTGTTATCCAAGCATTAGAGAGCCACATTTTTAGTAACCTGCAAAGCCTACACTAATAATTTACACACATTTTTCATAGAATTTCAATATGTGAAGGGACTTCAGTAGACAACTAATCAAATCTATAAGGAAAAATAATCCCCCACAACAAGAATCACAGATATACATACAACTTTGAAAGTTATATATTGAATGTGTTATATATTTTGAAGAAAAAGGCAAGCTTTACATAATGGAGGTTAACACTAAACAAAAGCTTTGTGTACAATTCTTTCTTTCTGTTCTACTAAGTATATATAATTTGAAGTTTGTGAAGCTCAGAATAAAGATGAAATTTAAAAAAGAAAGAAAAAAAATCTCTACTCTATTCCACAAAGAGTACCAGACAAGCAACCTTTGTCTAAAGACTTCCAATAGAGAGAACACCACTATTTTCTAAAGAAGCCAATTCCCCATTTGGATTGCTCTAATTGTTAGGAAGTTTTTCCTTATATTAAGCCTAATTTTGCCTCTCTGAAACTTCTGCCCATTACTCTTAACTATGATTTCTGGGGCCAAAGGCTTTCTGCCTTTTATAGGACAGTCTTTCAAGTACTTGAAGACAGCTACGTGTCCTCCTAGAGTCTTCTATCGTCCATCCAGGCTAAAATAGCCAGTTGCATTAAACCAATCCTTTGTCTCATTCTAGTTCTTAACTAACTCTGAGGGTAGCCAAAACCACTTTTAATTTTGTTTATTTAAGAGTCCTATAAATACTCCAAAGATTATATATGAACTAGATGAAAACAAAATCTCTGATGAATAAGGGGAAAGAAGTGAAGGAAGGGAAAACTGTGTGAGTGGAGCCTACACTTTTTATAGGATTAAGACTTTTGTCCCAGAGTCAATGTAGGCTAATTCTTTTTGCTATTTATTTTGGTTACCATAAGTAATTTTGTATTAGAAAAAGGAAACTTTTCTATTCCTTCCCACTTTCTACCTCCTAATATTGTCATCATGCCCCTCTCAACCCTTCCATAATAGGCGATGGGATTCTGTCCTGAAAATACCCAAGTAGAGAAAAAGTTATACAACTCTGCACATTCTCTGAATTACAACAAATATTACTGCAATCAGGTTAAAAAGTGGGATGATAATAATATTCCTTCCTTGGAGTAATGATATCATTTATAAATGGAACACTATCCAAGAAATCTCTCCTTTGTAAGAGTGAGGAACTAAATTAATAAAAAGGAAGGTGACCTTTATGGATTTTGACTTGTGAATCTACATTTTTAAAATGGTCATTAAATGGGTATAAAATTAAAAGCTAATTAAAGAGTAGAGCAGACATACAGACATTAGAACTAGATAATTTTTCTGAAACACACACACACATATATGTGTGTATACACACACACACACACACACATATATAATGACTGCTCAAATAATGAAGAGAAAGACATTCTGTAGAGAAAGAGACTAAAACCGGTACACAGAAATTATTAATAAAAAGGTGACTAATGTTTTCAAAAACCAAAGGCAGAAAGCAAAGATTAGGCCTGATTCTTCACTCTGCATCTTGGTAAGAGTAAGCAATATGTCTGCTTGCTAAAGAGGGAAGGTAACTTCTTTGCCGTCTAGCTCAAGCTCTTCTAGGCTTCCAATAGTGTGGGACAGTGGAATTTACCTTAGAATCAGAGGAACCCAACTCAGATCCATATACCTGTGTGACAATGGATAAATCACTTAATTTCCCTGGGCTTCAGTCTCCTTATCTCTAAGATTAAGGGGTCAAATTAGATTGCCCCTGATGTCTCAACCAGTTCCAGATCTGTGAACCTCAGTGAGCAGTCTCAAGTACAGGTCTTTATTGTGGTTGTTTTGTTTTTCTAGCATTGGTCTCGGAGTTAGGAGAATTAGACATAAACTCAACCTTTTTTTCCTTAATAGTATCAAAAAACAACAAGCATTTCTCATGTGGCTAATGTAGGCACACTGAACCCTGTTAGGTGCTTCACATAATATAAAGATTATATATACATATGTTATTTATATATATATATATATAATATAAACATACATATATAATATAATAATACATAATATACATATATAATACATATGACACATGCTCTCTCTATATATATACTCACATCTATGTATGTATGTATGTATGTATGTATGTATATATTCCCCACCCTCTAAGAGGATTCTAATGTTATGGGAGTCTATCCAGTTTATCTAGTACCTCTTCAAGCCTGAGTTTCCTCATCTACAAAATGTGGATAATAATTGTATAGGCTACCTCACATGGTGATCAAGAAAAGTATCTTATCAGTGATACAGCTTAGGATCATAGGCTCTTAGAGATGGAAAAGACCTTAAGACTTATCTGGCTAAAGGGGCATTTGACTCTCTTCTCTAAAATCTCTATTAAGTGGTCATCTGGCCTTTGCTCAAAGACCTCCAAAGATACGGTACAACTGCTTCCTGAGGCATGACATTCTACTTTTACACTTTTCTAATGACTAAAAGTATCTTCTACATTTGATCCTAAATCTGCCTTTCTGGAATCTACTCAGTGCTGCTAGTCTTGATCTCTGTGGGGAAAAAAACAAACAAACAAAAAACAAAAAAAACCCCTAAATCCCCTTTCTATTTGATAGCCTTTCACATAATAAAGAAAGCAACCACATCCATCCACTTTATCCTTCCCCACCCCCCCCCCCCCAGCTAAAAAAGCCTCAGGTCCTTCAGTTGATGCTTTTATGACATTGGAGACAATGTGCTACAATTGAAAAAATGCTAGAATTGAAGTCAAGAAACCTTGGTTAGAGCCACATTGTGTGATGACTGACTTTAATAGTCTTAGCTCTTCTTAGCAATGCAAGGATCTAAGACACCTCCAAAAGACTCACAATGGAAAATGCTATCCCCATCCAGAGAAAGAACTGAGGAGTCTAAATACAGATAGAAACATACTATTTGCTCTTTTTCTATTGTTGTTTTGTTTCTTCTTTCTCATGGTTCCTCTCATTACTTCTAATTCTTCTTTGCATCATACCTAATGTGAAAATATGCTTCATATGAATGTATAAGTGGAGCCTATACCAGATTGCATAACATCTTGGGGAAGGGGGGGGGAAAGGAGAGGGAGAAAATTTAAAACTCAAAATCTTGTGGAAGTGAATTTTGAAAACTAAAAATTAATTAATTATAAAAAAGGAAAAAAAAAGAAACTTTGGTTAGACTCTTTCCTCTCACTAACTAGATTTTTGACCCTTGATGCATCACTTAACCTCTCTGAGTCCCAAATTCCTGATGTGCAAAATGAGGACAAACATGAAAAAATAGTTGTACTTCCTGTGCCGTAAGGTTATGTCGAAGGAGCTTTGTAAACTTTAAATCTTTAAAAAAAAAAAAAACTCACTCTTCTGTGGATCTGAACTTAATGATGGCCCCAAAATGTTTGTTCAGGATTCAACAGCATACTCCACATGTGATCTTACCAAATCACTTACTTTGTAATGGATAATTTAATTAAATGGGACCTAAGAAAGGGCTAAGAAGCAGAAAGGTGATTTCACTGGTAACAAGATCTCTTGGATACAGAAACTCCCTCTAAGAACACAGGTTAGCATCTTAAATGCAACTTAAAGGCTTAGCAAGTTGCCTAAAGCATTGAGAAGTTAAATGACTCACCATGGATCAAACAGAAAGCATGTGATAAAGATGGGATTTGAACCCAGATGTTCTTGATTTCAAGACCAATCTTTATTCACCACAACACACATCTTAAGATACCACTAGTTTTTTTTGTTTGTTTTGTTTTTAACCTAAAATATCTAAAATTATTTTATCATCACCATCATTGTCATCATCACAACCACCTTGTATAATTTAATAAATAGACCTTTAATAATGGAGGGAGCAATTTCTCAGGAAAGTACACTTGTAAGTCATATCACCTAAGCCGTCTCTGTCTTAAAAGAAGATAGGGATTCCAAGAGGCAGAGGTGAGAAAAAAGTGCATTGCACATAAAGGTGACCACCTGTGCAAATGGAAAAAAAAAGTAGGAGATGAAATATTGCACACAGGAAGAAAAGCTCTGATTGTTGGTAAAGCCTTTGGAAAATGAAATGGCCTACCAAAGAAGGTAGTGTGTACCTCCTAACTAGAGGTCTTCAAGAGAGAATAGGTAACCATTTAGGTATGGCTATTGTAAACAGATTAGATGGATTAGGTAGGCTCTGAGGATTCTCAGAGGTCTTCTTAGATCTTACTCTCTACCAGTCACACTGTTCTTCGCTCTTCCTGTCCCTGATGCCTGGAATCTTCTCTTTCTTCATCTCCACTTATTGTGTCCCCTGGCTTCCTTTAAGTACCATCTAAAATCCCATCTTCTACATGAAGCCTTTTCCAATTCTACTTAATTCTAGCATCTTC